TTTGTTTATTTAAAATATGGCCTCCATCCGTGCAAAGAATTGCACAGTATATATTGCCATAAAAAATAGTCTTATTAGAATTATTTATTAATATGTTATTTATATATTAACAAGTTTGAATTTAATAAGATTATTGAAATATTCTAAAATATATTTGTCTTTCTACATTTTATATGTATGTACGTGACATTGAAAGAATATGCATTGCACGTTTTAACACGAATGAGATTATTATGGAAAATACTGAAATAAAAGAAATACTATATCAGCTGAAATTATGACTTACTTGATAATATTTCAAGTGGTTCCTATTTTTGTAGGAAGACAAAATGTATTTAAATTATAAAAAAAGCATAGAATTCCTATTAAAATTGATTAAAGTAGGTATTTCGTTGGTGAAAATAATTATCCAAAAAACTTAGAATATATAAATAATAGTTTAGCAAATTAATACAGTTATTCATTATATTACACAGTTATTAAAAATCCAACTTAGCTATGGTATAAAAAATGTGTCTGTAGATTCCTAGATAATAAAAAAGGTTACATATGCAGCTGCGCGTCAATGACCATAGTTATATATTATATACATATATATATGTATATACATATATATTTATCTCGTAAAGTTACATTATGAATACCGTTTATATTATATCATTATGTATTGTGATGCAAATGCAACAACGGATGGCCACTGCAGTCACGTATCTACTTCCTGAGAATATAAAATTCATAATTGATGTTCTATTAGACATTGCGTAACTAGCGAAAAAGTTTGTCATTCGAAAATGGACATAATCTTGTAGGTCAAAAAGTTTATAATCTAATGGGTTAAAAATTAATCAGCGAAAAAGATATTCATTCAAAATTGAACATAATTTTCTGGGTCAAAAAGTTTATAATCTAATGGGTTAAAAAACAATCAGCGAAAAAGATATACATTCGAAATTGAACATAATCTTCTGGTTCAAAAAGTTTAAAATCCATTGGGCTAAAAATGAATACAATTCATCGCAATTTACAAATAGATGTTTTGAATGTTTGTACTTATTCTTGTCACATGTCTATTCTAGTAACTCATCTGATCACAATTGGAGACCAGTTCGTGTAATACATTGGTATCAAATTTCTATGACCGTAACTAATGGTCACGTGAACAGGAAATTATACTAAAAATGTATAAATAATCAAATCGTATGACCACCGTCTTTTATAATCATGTGTCACGTCATCAGCCTGTCAGAGCCCACTGCTGAGCTAAGGCCTCTTTCTCACATGGAGAAGGTTAGAGCATTAATCACCACGCTTGCTCAAGACGGGTTGGCGATTTCAAACTTATAATTGTGAAATTATAAGTCCAGGTTTCCTCACGATGTTTTCCTTTAGCGTCTGTCAGTGATGTCTAAATACTCTTAGAAGTTAGAAAGTACATATGACTCGAAAAATCACATTGGTCCTTGCCAGGATCGAATTATATTCATGGGATGTTCTTATTTCATATTGCCAAACACTTTCGCTAGGAATACATTTAGATTTTAGTGGAACCACTAATTTCAGTCGTTGACCTTGAGTACTAGATATTTTTGTCGCGATCTATCTATATGCAATTTGTGATGAAACCTAACCTGAACTAACAAAACCTAATCTAGAGTTACAGTAGCTTGTAACCGGAGACCTAAACTTTCTAGGCTCGAGTTCTGGTCAAATGTCGGTTTTCTAGTCGTGGGTCATTGAACTCTCGACTCTCGATCCCGGTCCAAGAAAGTCATGTTCCAATACAACTTTTTATTAACAACCGAACAGTATTCTCAGGCGTGACGAATTCTAGGCTTTTTTTGTCTACGACGCAGACCAAAACCGCTCGCCCGAATACAGGAGATGTATGAGTTGCTTTCGTTTTCAAGAAACTGAAAGCTATCATGTATGTAATATACAGGGTGACTGGTGAATTACTATCGATATTTGAGGACGTGATTTGTGACGATCATATATGACAGAATAAAAATTAATATAACATAAATATTAATAAACAACTAAGTAAAGTTAACCAAAAGTTATGTAATTAATTACGCATCGTATGAACACCCTACAGATTAGGTATACACAAACACACACACACAGACGCGGCGGCGGCGTAGTGTTGTATCCGCACGCCGCCGCACACGTCCACGCTTGGAACACTTGGAACGTGTCAACACTTTATTTATTTATACGGAAATTTTGTCAAAAATTAAGTGCCTATTTTTTTTACATAATTCGAATGAGAATCATGTACCGAGTATCCTCCTTAAATATTGATAGTAATTCACCAGTCACCCTGTATATGCCAAAACTCCGACGTTACTTCCATTAAAATAATACGATAGTCTCGTTTAAAACGAATTAATAGTAATATTTTTTGTAATAAATCCGTGAAAGTGGGTTAAATATCATCAAACGTTGAATTTTTATTCTCAATTACCTAACATTGAATTATCACATTGGTTACGCGGCGATGAATCTTAGAAAAAAAATCGTAACGTTTTATTATGTAATATATATTTTTTTATTATTACTAACAAAATGTCAAGGAAAATGTGATCTTGTGTTTACATATGTGCAGCTTAAGTTGTGATAAATTTATTATTAAAATAACGTATAAGATAATTAAACAAATCAATTTTTATATTTGTACTAGCTTTCCGCCCGCAGTTTCGTCCGCGTGGAGTTCGGTTATATCGCGTTTCCAAACGAACCTTTCAAAAGTCTGGGATAAAAACTATCCTATGTTCTTTCTCAAGGTCAACTCTATCTCTGTACCAAATTTCATTAAAATCAGTTCAGTGGTTCAGGCGTGAAAGAGTAACAGACAGACAGACAGAGTTACTTTCGCATTTATAATTAGTAGGGATATATATGAATGTAAAGGAAAAGTATATGAGTAATATATACGTAGATTCTTAATAAAATTCTCGTTAAACTTATCGTTTTCCGATACTAAAATATTTAACGCGTTTCTTTCTTATAGAAACGATTACTTGGCACTAAATATGAACGTAGAAAACATTTTAATGACTTAATGTAAATTGTATTAGGTATATATATAAAATACTATACAATCTGTTCGTGGAACATGCAAATATAGTATTATATCCATGGTCCGCTCGTTCTCATTGTCAATTGTAATGAAACAGTTTCTATCTGTAACTACATTCAGGCTCAGTTCACGCGTCATTGCATATTTTCTATTGCGGCCACTAGTTGGTCAAGTATAGTATATCATTTCATTCTACTGTCTTCACTTTAATGCTATGTTTTTTAGTGTTGTACCTTAAACATCTAATTTTAGTTATCGATATGTATAATACCATATAAATTTAAGTTATTTTGATACGATACTTAACCAATTAATCGGTAGAAAGACAAATAATACATCGATATATTTTTGCCGTTTTTCGTCTCAAAATATCACTGGTACAACCCTAGTTGATTAACTAGTTCTCGTCTGCGGTTTCTTTCACGTAAAAGCGAATTATTTGTACTAATAAAATGGGTTTTCGAGATTTTTACGACAAATGAAATCAATACTGCTTTCTAGATATTCTTATTATAGTTATTAAGACACAAAGACAACCATAATTAATTTAACCTATTTTATATAGATATCTTAGTCATCGAGATTTATTATGTGATAAATGTTTATATAGTGGAGCATTGTGTATAATGATTCACTGCAACAAACAAAAGTTTTGTTGATTAGAACATGCACTGGTACTATGACCCCTTTAGGGTCATGACTCATAGAGGGCTAACAATGAAAAAACATTGCTACATAGTAAAGATTTAAACAGGCAAAAGTTATATTATTTTAAGTTAGATATTCTTATGACATAAAAGTTGTAATTTTTTTTTAAATATGTTATGTATTATAATATGATTTGTTCATTTTAATGCCCACATTTTGTATTTTTTTTTTCATTGACCTTATGTTTTTAAGTCTTTTTTTATATATTTTAGAAAGGATAAACAGAATACAGTACTTCAATCACTGTATCTGTTTGACCAGTTTTGATAAAATCCTCTTTGATATCTTTTAATTTTTACTTATATGATAAATTTAAACTTCTAGGCGATTCTTTTTTGCGTCTTTCTTCATATTATCCACCCACTTTGGAAATTATCACATTTCTTTAAAGATTTCCACTGAATTATGCCCAAAAAAGTATCGCTCCTTATTGATGTAAAATATTCATAAAACAAATGTATTGAGAGACTTGCCTTATTATTTATTTACACTTAAGAAGACTTAAAAGATTTTTCGTCAAAAATTACACATATTGAATTTAATAAAATTGTTTTTTAATCACTATATTTACGTAAAACCCATGTTGTTTTTCTAGTTACGTATAATTAGTATTATATAAGTTATTGTACATAAGTACCATATGTCATACTCGTGGCATCATGTCATGACAATGCTGTCATGAATATTCAATGAGGTTCTTTTAACTATAGCTCTGTTCCACAATTGTCGTTTTCTAAAAGCTATCGCGATTTAATGCAGAATTATTTTATAATGAATATTGTCAGCTACACTTTAGTAACCTGTACTTATAAAAAGATAGGTGAAGTTTTAAAGAGCTAAATATAAAATAGTGTCTTTTAATTTCATCTAGTACGTTATCAGTTTGACTTTTGAGTGTGACTGATTGTAGAACATTAACATACATTTTCAACTTTTTTCGTCACGGTTTTATAAAAATATTTACATAAAATTATATCATATATATTATGATATAATTTTATTTAAATATTTTTAATGATGTCCATTCTAAAAAACAGACACTTTCATCTCGTCTGTCCGTCATTACGACAGCTATATGTGACCAAAATATCTATAAAATTTAGTATATCCGAAAAATAGTCTCATTGAGATGGCTTTTCCTCTAATTTTGGTATTACTATTAAAGAATACGTATTAAAATAACATTGTGATAATTTTTTTTGTTGTTTTCCAGGCTTCGACAATAGATGGCAGGCGAAAAGGTGCTTGCCTTTTCTGTCAGGAGTACTTCATGGATCTGTACTTGCTAGCGGAATTAAAAACTATAAGCCTAAAGGTGAGTCGATATAAATTATTAATACTGAATCCTGTTTAACTGAGTTATTATATACACTTATTATTACTACTAATTTGTACACCGTTAAGAATGTTTTCGGGTTTAAGAACTTGATTTAAAAGAAAATACATTCACTTAAAACAATAATACAATTTTAAAAATTCTGTTGGGTACTCGACAATTCGTACAAGTACACTTTATGCTGAAATAAAGAACTGTTGCAACTGGAAGTGTTTTGGTCCTAAAATTCCGCAATATTTCTCTAAGATCTGTTAAAAGCCTAGCTTGACGTTATCAGGTAACCACAGTAGATATGCAGAAGCCTCCGCCAGATTTCAGGACCAACTTCGAAGCTACTCATCCGCCCATCCTGATAGACAACGGCCTAGCCATACTGGAAAACGAAAAGATAGAACGACACATCATGAAAAGCGTGCCGGGAGGGCATAACTTGTTCATTCAGGTATAGAAGTTAATTCTACTATTATTTGTATGCAATACTCGGCCTTTAATTTTAGGAAAAAACGTCTTTTATTCTGAACTAGTTTTTGACCGCGTCGTCTGCGTTAGATTAAAAATTAAAAATATATAGCTGACCAGGCAAACTCTATTCCTATTTAAAGATAGTAGATACATAGATTTTCGATTTGATAAACTTATTTTTTCTTTGTTTTTCAATCGGATGAAATTAATCATATTTCCTTTCCCTTGTTCTGAGTAAGATCTTTACCAATTTTCAGAAAAACCCATATAGTCATTTTTAAGTTATAAATAGTGTAGCTAACGCGACTTTTTTGTACAAAGATTTAGATTAAACATGTTCAGTTACTTCTATTCTAGTTAAATTTGAATAACAAATTTATATATGCGGGCTTAAAACCGGTTACGTTTCAAGTAATCTTTCACAAAGAATATATGTAGTACCTATCGCATCAAAGACATATGGTCTATTGATTTGGAAAGAATAATGAGGTTTTATATGGAATGAAAAGGAAAGAATAAAAGTAGTGTATTGCGATTCAAAAATTTGAGAAATTAAAACAAAAGAAGGAATGTTAATGAAATAAATCCGTAATTATTTGGACTATGTATTTAGAATGCCTATTACATTGATTGGACACGATAGTTCAGTTGTAAAGCAACCGGTACGAATGTTTCGAAGTTTCTAGGTTCATATACTGCTCTTGATGATAATGTTTTCTTTATGATTTTTTTAATTTTAATTTAGTTATAGATCAATATTGCTTTAATATTAAGGCATTATTATAAAAAAGAAAGTTTTAAAATAACGACATTTGTTGTAAAGTAGAAATGTATTAAAATATATACTTGCCATTATTTGCTTCAGATATAAGAATAATAATCTTTAAGTGGCAAAGAAATAAACAGCAGTGGGTCTCTGATAGGCTGAAAAAAATATGTTCCAGTATATTCATTACAAATCAGGAACAAAACTATAAAAGTATCTGATTTATCGTATTAAAAATATAATAATAAAGAAAACAACAAATAAATTCGTCTTAGCTCCAAAACTGTATAGTGTATGTATACATATCATAATTCATAATACAAATTATTATTTTCATATAAGTATGTACATGTATGAATGAATGTTCCAAAAAAAAACTTTAATGAATATCTCAATGATTTTCAACGCTATATATTTCAACTTTTCCTAGTTGTATCGTATTATGTCATACAACCAGTTTTTATAGCGTTTTCACTTTAAACCTGTCGCTGTGACAACGTGCTATAATAATACAGGAAACGAAAACAACAGTGAATTACTGCTGTCATCGATCTCTTTAAATGTTTTTTAATTAATTAATGTAATTATTTTATATGTATTTTTATAATTATCTACTATTACATAATGCTCTTTATATAAGTTTGATTTGTTCTATTTAATCTATATATATAAAAATGAATTGCTGTTCGTTGGTCTCACTAAAACTCGAGAACGGCTGGACGGATTTGAAATGTTCGTGGAGGTTCAGGGAAGGTTTAAAAGCTGAAAAAAATTTATTCATTTCCGGGAAAACCCTAAAATCAACCCTTTCCTATTTCCCATACAAACGTTTCAATCATTCTGTTCGATTGAAACAGGAAAAATTTAATAAATACCAATACCTGGTTATTTAAGACGGAATAGAGTTCGCCCGGTCAGCTATAAAAATATTACTAATCACGAAATTAACGCGGACGAAGTCGCTGGCAAAAACTAGTATGCTATAAAAACTATGTTATATTTGTGAAGCTTAATATATTTCTCAATAAACGATTGTAATAGATCCAACCAAAGAAGATAAAAAATGTAAACATTGTCTGAAGGTCATTATATATAGGAGTGACAAAAATAAAGACTTACTGCAAAAAAACAAAAAATAAATATATGGAAGGTTAAAGGTTTAAACGTCTGTCGAACATTTTCTATACAGCTGTTTAACAAAACAAACCAATTTATTTACAAAATTTATCTCGTTCCGTTCTCTCTACTTTATATTTCTTTAATTAATCTTCATACTAAATGATATGATATGAATGATTTCAGGATAAAGAGGTGGCATCTCTCATAGAGAACCTGTACTCCAAGTTGAAGCTGGTTTTGGTACGTAAAGACGAGCACAAGTCCGCTGCTCTGAGGGCGCATCTCGCTCGTATTGATGCACTGCTGGAGCGCAGAGGAACCAGGTATAAAGACAACACACACACACACTTATATATACGACAGCGAGAATATTTGTGTTTATTAAAAAAAATACTCTTAATAGACTTGCCTTTAAATGAAACTAATGTTTTTCGGATTCGAATTTGTACGCGGTAGAAGTGGGAGTGAGAGGTATAACAGCTAAGATATCTCTACAACTTGCTAAAAGACTTGGGCCTGTCCAGAACTCACATTAATACGTATATTCTGGGAACGTACATCGAAGGCAGCCCTAGTAGGTTCTTTTCAAATTTGGTTAGGTAGGGAGAGGAGCTTGGACAGTGGAGGTGAGCGTTTAACGCGCGTTAGATAGGGGCCCCTTAAAACTACACCTGGGTCACAAGTCCCAGTCACTGTTGAAGCTCCTCTCACTGCAACGATGGACCCGGCACTCACACGGTGAATACATTGAATGCTGAGAGGTTTCGTCTCAATGTAAAAACTATATACTCCCAACGTTTCGGTTACTTAGTAGCAACCGTGACACCGGGCAGACGACATATAATCCGGAAAATATTAGTTATATTTAAATGAATATTCGCGAAAATCTCATACTTCATAATGACTTGTCATAACTTTAAATATTCGTGTATGTTTCAGATTCCTAACGGGAGACACCATGTGCTGTTTCGACTGTGAGCTGATGCCTCGCCTGCAACACATCCGCGTGGCCGGCAAGTACTTCGTTGACTTCGAAATACCGGTGAGACTTTAGATACTTTACATACTTAAACCTATATACGTTCATTAATGAAACAAGATTTCATATAATTTCAATAGAATAGATAAATAGATAAATAGTAAGTCAATGGCGGCCTAGTGGTTAAAAGGTCCGCCTCTCGTTGCCGATGGCGCGAGTTCAAACCTGTCAAGTACCAATGTGATTTTTCCGAGTCATATGTACTGTGTGAGAGTATTTAGACATCACTGACATAAAGTGAAGGAAAACATCATGAGGAAACCTGGACTTATAGTTTCACAATTATAAATTTGAAATCACCAACCCGTCTTGAGCAAGCGTGGTGATTAATGCTCAAACCTTCTCCATGTGAGAAGAGGCCTCTCAGCAGTGGGCTGTGATAGGCTGATGGGATATAAATAGATTTTCTCACACTTATTCGTTCTTAGTCATCTAAAATTAAATGTCACGACTAATTTAACTAATTTACTTAAATATAATCAATGTATATACAATTATTCATGAATCTTATTAATATATTTACAGACGAGTTTCCGAGCACTCTGGCGTTATATGTACCACATGTATCAACTAGACGCCTTCACACAAAGCTGCCCCGCCGACCAAGACATCATAAACCATTATAAACTGCAACAGGTAGTGTAAACCGCGCTTTATAATATTATAAACCTACCCTTATCAGCCATAGACAACATTTTCCAACCTCTAAAGCAAGGGTTAATCTATATTATACCGTAGTTTATGTATAAGCTATCTTTTTTGTATCTATTATTCCTTATTTCTATCTATGACTATCGCCTACAGTTATCTACAAAAGGTTTGATCTTGTCGCCGACACTGACGCGGCAAAAGAAAGACGAAGAGAGTAGGACGGTACGTTAATTTGTGTCGTCGCGTTAATGTGCATACATCATTAATAAAAATATAAATGTCATTATTAATATATGGCAGCACCGGTGTCACATTAATATATGGTAACACCGATGTCATAACTCTTTTGACGTTCCGTTGACAGATTCGTTTTGACAGATTCATGACAGTGACGTTTCTATCATTGGTTGAGGTTCTCACACTCGCTTACAACATGGCGTTTTCCTTCTAATTGTATTAAACTTTGTGTAATGACTGTTTTGTGTCCGTATACTCATTAAAATAAATGTTTTTAATGTATAGACGTTAAATATATGCAGGATGAAATTGAATAGGTTGAAAAATTATGACATTATTACCTATAGAGTCTAATTGTATAATTTCGTAAATTTAGGCATAAGTTCAAATTCTAATTTTGTTTAAAAAATTTCGTAATATGGAATGAACAACATTTATTTTTACAATATTCACATAATTAAACTAAAATTGATTAAATTAATTAAAATTGATACATAAAATATTGACTATACTGTATATGTTTCTCTTCATTAATCATTATTCTGTTCTCAAATTATTCACTCGGTCTTTTATAAGTTACTAGCTTTTGCCGCGACTCCGTCCGCGTGGAATAGTGACTTCCGGCAGATTTTTGGTTCTTCCCACATAGTTCCCGTTCTTGCGGGGTTTTCGGAATGGTCGAGTTCCCGTAGAATTTTCAGGATAAAACCTATGTTTTTTTTTTATTTACAATGAAGTACTCTTAACCAACAACATATTTATTTGAATAAAGATGAATATTATTATGTTGATACAACTTAAACAAATTATTTCGACCAAATTAGGTACCATAAAAACGATTTTTGTGAATTAATCTTAAAAGATAGACATATACTGTCCTGGACTGTTTTTTAGATCATTAAAAGAGCTATTATTCTTTCATACATATTTTTTGTGTATCTTGAACCGTTTTCACGGCGCACGCAACGAAAGACTTCAAAGATGAAATAATTTCTCCCGTTTTTTACACATTTCCAACAATATCTTTGCTCCTATTGGTCATAGCGTGATGTTATATAGCTCACAGCCTTCCTCGATAACTGGACTATCCAACACAAAAAGAATTATTCAATTCGAACCAATAGTTTCGGAGATTAGCGCTATCAAACAAACAAACAAACAAACTCTTCAGCTTTATAATATTAGTATAGATGTATTTATAGTCTATCCTAAATATTATTATACATTTATGTACAATATTCAATTTCATCCTGTAGAGGTTGTCTTTCTAAACAATTATGTATATAAGACCCTCTTATTACTCTCTCCATAACTCTATTTTAAGTCATAATCATGCATGTCTTGCATGATAAAATATGTTTGATCACCATTATAATAAAATCATCACAGCGCCTTATAATATTTTATAGCAATAACTATGTATGGTATAATAATGGAATATATTTTTCAGGCGCTCAAAATGAAGAAACACGAAGAACTTGAGACACCCACGTTCACTACCTCCATTCCCGTGGACATTAACGAACCGAACGAACAGTAATCATTAATAAATACCAAGTCTTTGAACGAAATCACTCAACGTGATTGATAGTATTTTTGTAATTTTGTACAATTTATGTTTTTTTTTGTTCGTTTTCGACATTTCATAATAAATGTAAAAGATTTGGTGCAATCAAAATTCATTACGGGTGATTGTATGCGGCGTTGGGTGCGTGTTTGAACTTTGAGATCGGCGGAGGTTTGAAGCAGAAATCTACATTATTTATCTAGTTCTAGATAGTGGGCGTACACAACGAAAATCTTTATTTTTCTCACATACTACGATTGGTTTACATTTTACAGTATTCTATGTTACGGTAGTTTTAGTTGTAGATAAGTATTTCAGCCATCCCGAACGCCTCTGCCTAAACATTTTTCAGTAACAGCAACGGTTATCGAGTTATATTTATTAAAGCATATTGAGTGCTCTTGCCTGCCTGGGTTACCTTTTTTGAAGGTAGTATAAGTACTTATTTTTATACATAGATTCAATTTAAGCCATTTTATTGAGACTTGGACTAATGATGCCTTGATTTTGGAATAATTTTTTTTTATATAAGCAGTTTTGTTCACAATATACAGATATGAGGCATCTACATTAAAAATATTGGACATGTATAAATACTAATACTAGTATATAATGTAAAATTGTTAAGGAATAAACCTGGATAAATATTTTAATTTTTTATTTGCGTTTTATTTTTCGCTTTTTTTTTCGCATCACTCATATTTCATTATATAACATATGCCATTAATATATAATACAATTTTTACAAACTTGTATACAATGTTTATATAACTAGTTAGCTTTTGTACTTTTAATAAATATTTATATAAATATATTAATATTATTATTATTTTATTATAATACCAAATCACTGTAAATTACTATGATGATCTATAAATATCTTTTTAGCCATCCATTCATTTCTATATAAATCTTTTGATAGAAGACAACTTAAAAACACATGAGTAACATATGCAGTCAGTCCCCAAATTTGATATTTATTCACAACAAACACTGGGAGTATGTATCCATTCTTGAACTGTGTATAAAATTGATTATTCGGATCGCAGAAAGTTTGTAACGGAACTGCAAATGTTTCAGCAACTTCTTTTTTGTTCAGACTAAGATCTTGTTCCGTCAAATTCTTTATAGAGCCTATAACAGGGGTGACACTGATTTTGTTGTTTCTACCTGGAAAAGTATTCCCACTGCCCCATATATCGACTTTTTCAGGTGATAACCCTATTTCTTCTCTGGTCTCACGTAATGCAGTTTCTACTGGAGATTCTCCTTTATCAGTTTTCCCGCCAGGAAAGGATATATGTCCACTGTCTGTCTTTAAGTTAACAGCTCGCACGGTGTACAAAAGACTTGGAATATCATTTACGATACACAGTGGAATCAAAATAGCAGCGGAAGTAGATGGTTCTGTTGCTTTTTTATTGGTTTGTTGTATCCTAAATTTTTTAAACTTAGCCAAACAACGTTCCCTAGCTACAGCTGAAAACAAATTTTGAACACTAAATGCATTTATACACATGATTTACTAAGTAATATAGTTATTATGAAAAAATAGTAGTTGGATATTTTTTTAAAGTACACCAAATGTCTTTAATAAATAAACTTTAGATTTTGATCACTGTTGATGTAAAATAAAAATAGCGATAAAAAATGACACACGTCAATGGTGTCGTAAAGATGAGGAAATTTCTCTTTGAATTGAGCCATAGCATATATAAAATCTAAAAAATCCTGTATTTAATTACTCACTTTATTTTGGTAACAAGTCTTTTTATAAATTATTTAAAAGATATATCCAGTTCTCTCCTCGTTAAATTTGTTTGTTAATGATTTTCAGAATAATCAAAACCATTATGTGAAATAATTCTCTATTAGATATAATGGGAAATACTGGCTATGTAGTTGAAAATGTATTTAAGTTAAATAGTACCTATTTCTATAAAAGTATACATTAAACATACATTTTTACTCTACATCTGTGCTAGAGTACCAAGATCATAAGATGTTACAAACAGCTGAAAATGACAGCTGTCAGCTATGTACTATTTACTAAATTTTTAAATTATTTTTTCTATTACTTTTATAAACATAGATTAGGAAACAAAGTCCAATTTTGAAAGGATCAACGTCCACTACTTAACCAATTAAGTTTAATGTTTAGATTTTCTAGCAAAAGTTCAGTTTCCCGTAGTAATGTCTTTGTCACCTCAAATTTTACTATCTAATAAGGTACGGGAAAAATGTGTCGCAAAATTTAAAGAATTACCATCATACATACAGACCGAAAATCTTTCAAAACCTCGTGCCGCTGTGTTAGTTCCTTTGTTCACTCAAAACGGGGAAGTTCACCTGTTGTATACACTTAGATCGAGTAACTTGAAGAATCACAGTGGTCAAGTATCGTTTCCAGGAGGAAAAGTCGATGAAAATGAATCACTGATTGAAACTGCCTTGAGGGAAACTCATGAAGAAATAGGTGTGCCGGCATCATCAGTCGACATTTGGGGTGAAATGCCGCCAATGCAGGGTCGCGATGGCAACATCTTAATTACTCCTGTGGTAGGAGTCATTAAAGATTTAGACGTCAAAAAACTAAATCCTAACATACATGAAGTGGCTGAGATATTTTCTGTATCAATGTCATCGTTTTGTAATAAAAATAATCATGCCCATTTTAAATACAATGATATAATGCTTCCGGTGTTTTTGTCAGGGAACCACAAGATATGGGGTATTACTGGCCTTATAACACACATGTTTCTCCAGTGCTTTCTGCCTAAAGAATTATATAAAGTTGACTTTTCAAGAAAAAAGTTTACTCTTGATGAACTTTTGCCTTCAAAACTTTGACAAGTGATAAATATATACTTTTTTTTAATGACCAAGGCTCAAGCCAATATGCAGACATTACAATTGTAATTAAGTTAAGAATTTTGCTACAAGGAGTGTACATAATTTTTATCTTTTATTTTATTCTGTATACATGTTGTGTATTTTATATTTTAATTTTTAATAACAATGTTATTACCAGACCTTTATTTTTTATAATTAATTACCATTCAAACTTGTTAAATGATGTGTACAATATTGTGATTATTTAATTATTTTTATGGATGTTTTATTTTATTACATTTTTTTGTATTAAAACAATTTTATGATTTATTAAATTTTATTTTTCTTATAAAAATAAATAAATATTGTGTTTCATATTTAAATCAGTCATCAGTTGTTATTTTTCATCCGTCTCCAATGTTGAAGTAGCACAATACTGAAAGTTGAAAATATTCACAATTATTTAAGTATAAAGTAATTATTTATTGATAATCATACATGATTAATAATGTTTAAAACGAACAGAATATGTATTATATAAACTATTCTTTATATTTATTAATAATAATAAACAAATATATATTTAAATACCTCTTTTTTTCTAGCAATCGCCGTCCTTGACAAAAAAGATTTCTTTACCGTAATACGCCAAGTAATGTTTAGCACGGCATTCAAACTCGCAAGGATTATTATAACTGCGGCCGTCCGAGGCGCATAAAGGAAGGTATATTTTACCGCAAGGACAGGGACTGAACGACTTCTGAGGAAAACTCATACATGACACTACCATCAAGGCCAAAAGTGACACTGCAACGAAAATATAGATAAAATATCAAAACAGGAGCTATTAATTATATGATATAATTAAGATGTTGTTTAAGAAAACTATATTAGAAAGATTGAATTTAAACAAATATCTATCATTGGTAATTTTTTTTAACAAGATCAATTATTTTTTATAAATTTGTTAATGAACGTAAAATTAATATTATGTGTAATCGTTTTTAAATTACGTCATAAATAAAATAACTTACCAAGTTTGAAATTCATTTTACTGTATAGTTCAGACGATCGTCTCACTGGTTTGTCAAATGTTAACTTTCTCTGCACTAAACCGACTTTTCTTTTATACGTAAAGTTATCAACTTCCGTTTAATTATCTGAAGGTTATTAAGATTGCAAAGCAATTGATCTGGATACTGAAGTGTTTAACAATAAACAGGGAATGGTGTTAAACTCGAATGATTATTCATTAAGTATCTTTTTGCATCGCATTATAAGAGATTTCTATTGGTTTCGATTATCCATAGTGGCGTTTATTTATTCAGACCGTGATGTCGGCTGTACAATGGAAGTCTTTGCCTTTTATAATGTACCTAATCGAAAAAATAGGTTCTTTTTGTCTATAAATAAAATAAGGAAACATGATTTAAATATCTGAATTGTTCGTGACTGTTAAATCTTATTGGATTTCATTAAATTAAAAAAGATAAGGACAAGATTTTTAATTGTAACTGTTATTACAACGGGGAAGACTTTGATTAGATACTCGATCGGTAAAGAAAAATCACAGAAATGTATACAACTCAAAATAAACAAGCTAAACACATTATCATCGTCATGATCACTATTAGAACAAGTGATAATATTTGCAATTTATCTTTTTGAATTATATTTAAACCGTTTAAAAATTAAACTTAGAGAAATATTAAATTAAGGTGATGTTACTTTCTTATTTCTATTTCAAGCAAAGACTCCATAACTGAAATTGCTAGTTGTAATAAACATAAACAATGGATATCTACGCTTTGTTTTGATTCAATACTAAGTAATTATTAACTCGCGTGTGTGAAAAATACATGATTTTCGTGCACCAACGTAGATGGTATACTTTCTCTGTCATGTTTGTTAAGTCAATATAAATAAATGTATAACATTTTTATTTAATTTTATTGTGTCATTCTTTGTTTAGTTTGAGATTATGTGTACAACTTCCTATAATTTCGACTTCTTATCTAATTGTGACGCTTGAAAGGAAATGGGTTTCGTTCTTCTACGTTTTTGTGTCAAAAAATTTATCTTATTCGCTTATATATTGCTTAAATATATAATTTTCTAACATACTGTGAGAAAATTGTTTTGCTATGTGCAACAAGACAGGATGTTTTTATCTTCACTTTGATTTGGTGACAAATCTTTTTATCCGTCATCCAGATTATATCTTTAAGATGATTTCCTGTATGAAAATTATTAGGAAAAATCAATGTAAATGAATTTTAACTACGAGTATACTTATTACTTGTATTTGAGATAATTGTAACTATTTTATTTACATAGCCATTCAGGATATTAAAGATAAGTTATAAGATAAATAATGTGCTAATTTTCGCGGTCAACAATATTTGTATGGTGCAAATAATATATATTATGTGTACATGATTGTGATATAAAGTAGCTCTTACGCATTCTCAGTTATTTTATAGCGATTTCCGAAAAGAGTTGAAGTGTTATATGCTATTTATATAGATCTACAAGTTATAGGAAGAAAGTAGTTGATAAATTAACTCATGTAAAGAACAACTCTTTGAAGCTTCGCTAATCATGAGTGTCGTCATGGTTGTCAGTTATTAACTTCATAGTTTCTTATATTGCATATTTAATTAGCTATAATCAGATTTACACCTGACTTCATCCGCACGGATATACTATTTTATCATTATATATATCATTATTATCATATCATAACCAAAAATGGTTGATGTCAGCCAGGCGGCCGGTCGTAAAAACAATTAGCCAAAACTATTCAACATGTAAGGCAGACCCTGGCTAAAGCTGAGAAATTGACAGGTAGAAGAAAATTTATCATTATTATATACGATAAAAGAATACAAAACAAAAGATAAGTTACACTTTATTACGTCAACTATCTTAGAACCAAATCTCGTGTTAGCAATCTAGAAATTTCAGAGATTAACCGTAACAAACAAAGAAAGAATTTTTTTAAATATATTTTGATATGTGAAACTAATACTTTGAATTGTATTAACTAAAATACTTTAATATTGCAAACAGATACGCCATTTATGTTCTATTTAAATAAAGAGAGCTATACGTAAAGAGCTGCAACATTAATATAAAAACTTTTTGGATATCTTTCGTTTAAACCCAATAAAATAACGGTGAAGTGAGAAATTAAGACTTTATTAATGTATTGAACTGATAGTAAAAGCCATTTAACTATATGTATACGTGAACTGCTATTGTTTCTTACTTATATAAGCCAAATATTTATTGGGCTTTTCTACATAATGAACGATTTCCTAAATTACGCAAGTTGTGTTCATTAAAAACCTTTACCCTAAATTAAAGAAAATTAACAAAAAAATACGGTAAAATTCAAAAAGATGTGAGATAAAAGGTACCTATATCTTCTTCTTCTTCTTCTTAGCGTTAATCCCGTCTTGTGACGGGGTCCGCTTTCCTGCTGTTTTTCTTCCACTTCGCTCTATCATGGACATCTTCCTCATCCAGATCGCAGTTATACATGTCATTCGTGACGACGCTTAACCATCGCAATCGCGGTCTTCCCCTTTTTCGCTTGCCAGGTAAATTGCAGTTAAGCGTTCTATTGCCTATGTATTGAGGTGGTCTTCTTTTAACATGTCCATACCATCGTAGTCGGTTCTCCTGCAGTTTGTCGGCGATGTCGCGTATCCCGAGGCTACCACGCACGTACACGTTGCGGATCTTGTCGAGCCTCGTCACTCCGCACATCCACCTCAACATTTTCATCTCCGTCACACGAATGGTATCAACATGTTTTTTTGTAACAGCCCACGTCTCGCTTCCATATATGAGAACTAATATAATAAAAGGTACCTATATATTATTTTTATCTCTGTACTTATTATATATTTTCAATTTATATGTTTGTTTTATATCTATTATCAATTTTCAACCTTTTCTTTGAAAGAAAAAAGTTTGAAAGGGGCTTTCCGGTTTGGCTTTTATAAGCAACAAAACTTCAAACAACAGCTTGATTTGCGTTGACAAAAAAAATATACCATCTTTGAGCTACCAGCAAAACGCGATTAGTATCCAGTATTCTACGGTAATGGTTTTGGTAGTGATTTTCAGACAACTATTCTTATTCCTTTGACGCGAGGTATGGTAGACCTCCGCATTTACAAGACGTCAGGATGGGATGGAAAAAGTCTGTGCCAGACCCGTTGCTATCTAAAATGAAATAAATCGATATCCCCGTATTAGTATAGCATTCAACCACTGTAATTCTGTAAAAGCTATGAATAAGGAGGCGCGTTGGATTTTGAGCCCATAAACCATACGGTATCCTCACCGAGATTCATGGATCGCATGACTCGGTAATTTTCTTCCTTGGTAACAAGAGGATTCGATGTAGCTCACCTTATACCTTTCTTACTCGGGGAAACAATAACTTGAAATGCCCTTCAAATCGCCAACTATCTAGAGTCAGAACAAAATACACCAAGCGCCTACTTACCTGAATCATACCATCACTTTCAAGAATTTAAAAGAATGTTGGTTATCTATGACTATACTGTGACATAAAGCTTCAGTTTCGTGAGACGCCACTCACAAACCTAGCTCATTGATCTTCCCCACAAAAAAAACGCGTATTCTTAGAACTAAAGTTCCAAAATCCCGAAACCTTGTCTCACGGCTTCCAGGAAAATGTCTTCACGAGTCAGGTTGAAGATATTTTTAACCTTCAACATACGATGACTCATATCACATAATTAATTTCATTCATAAGTGCTAAATTTGTAACTGATTTTAAAAACCCTTTATTTACAAATATCATGATTAATATACGTAAAACGACAATAATTTCAATTTAATGATTCATAATGAAACGTGAAATTTAAACATACATAGTTCTCACATTACAATTTAACATTTTTACGATTTGATTATTTTCTCATTCACATTACAAATCGTGCTTGACAGACTCAGTCTACCTAAAGTCCCCTTACAAT